CATTTGTGAAGCGTTGATTAAACGTTGTAAATACGTACCCAGACTGTTTGCCACCGAGTCAAAGTGGCAGTTTGCGAGCATGAAGTGCTGCGCCGTGGTTTTGGGCTCTAGTTTGACCGCGATGTTGGTCACGCGGTCATAGTAGCTGGTGAAGCCGCCCAGAAAGTCGATGCTGAAGGATCCAGTGGGCCGCTGGACGTCCACGGTGATGGAGTGAGGACCGGTCTGGCTCTCAGTCCGGATCTGCTCGATCTGATCCAGCAGGTAGTTCACCGTCATGATCTCGTTCTCTGGACTTCCGACGGTCCGCGGCCCGACGCTCGTGATCCGCTCCAAATGCTTCCTGATACACACACACACCACAACAGAACACAACTTTACAACTATTCTGTTATGTTATTGTTTATTTATCGGTCTATAGATTATGAGTTTTGTTCTCAATGAGTTCTCTTTCAGCGAAGAAGCCAAATATAGTTTATTTGTACCGGTGTATAATGACAATAAAGATTACTCTATTCTATTCTATTTTAAATGCACGAATTAAATGCTCACAATAAAATCATGAAATTTCATTTAATACCAACATATCATTCATTCAGTATATGCAAAAATAATACTGAAAATATCCTCGTTATCACCTCAATTATATATATATATATATATATATATATGTGTGTGTGTGTGTGAGTGTGTGTGTGTGTGTGTGTGATTTATTTATAATATAATGATTTTTTTAAAAATTATTACTATTTTTGTTTATTTTATATATTATATAATATTTTTTACTATGTTCCTCTGTTTAATCAAATCCAAACAGACATATATTAATGCCGTTTTAATCCTCATATTATCAAGTTGAAAACTTATTGATAAGTATTTCTTATAAGTGTAGTCAATATCATTGGTTGGAAGATAAACATATATTGATAATCATAAGTCACATTAAAAAAATTTTTGTCTTGTTTTAAACATACAACTCATTAAATTAGATAACATTTTATTAAGTTTATGCTTAAAACAAGATTTAATTAGTTCAAATTTTTTACTTAAAAGATCTTTAACCTTTATGTTCATTGCATGTCACCTTCGTTATGTTTGCTGTATGACAAAAATATTCCTAGTTACACTGAAATTAACCCCTCAAATGATTTTGATATGTTTTTGTGTGTTATCAAAACCCTATTAACGCTTTAAAGTTAATGCATATTTCTCATAAATCATAAAGCCATAGTTAATCCAATAAATCAGAGTTACTGTTGTCATAGTAACACAGTGATATATTGTATCAGTTAACTGTCATCAGAAAACAATAGCAGTAACCAGAGTAACAATAACAGTAGAGTAAATGTTAACAAATTACTTGAGTATTTTGTTTCTTACACATTAAAAATATAATTAACTTACTGATTTTATAATAAACAATAAAATGTATTAATTTTTTATTCTATGAGTTTAAAGTCTATCACATCATAAACAATCGTGATATATTATAAAACACTACAGTACTTTATACCATGGCATTATGCTGATTTACCATGGTATTACCGTAGTTAACAGCAAAGTACCCTGACTGCACCATGGTAAAGTGTACCTGGCCCGGAGCGCGTTGAAGAGTCCCGGGCTGCTGATGATGAGCTGCTGCAGTGAGAGCAGAACCAGAAGCCACAGCAAACACACGAACCCGAGCAGCAGCAGCACAGCGGAACTCTCGCCCAGCAGCCCAGCGCTCACTTCCGGCTTGTGTTTGCGGCTCCGGAGCCCGTTCAGCGCGGCCGCCTCATCGCCACAGTCCGGCTGCTTCTGCTGGTTCTGTTGGGCTCTGATTCTGCGGACCGTAGAGTCTCTCTCCATATTTACTCCTGCTGCTCCTGCTGCCTGCTATCAGCGTAAACGGAAGCGGCAGAGGGACAAACTTCCTCAGACACGATGGGAGGGGCCATCGTCACAAACCCCGCCCACATGCGCAGAGCCCCGCCCTTTCTCGTTATTAGCGTATTACCGCCACCTACTGAGTAGTTTCACACCATACACCATTATTACAATAATAAATCGTTAAAATAATTAATCTTGTTTTATAATAAATTAACTAATTAATAATAACCTTTTATATTTTATAAGACTGCATTCTTCTAAATAGTACATTTTTGTTTTTAACTTATATTTCCATACAAATATATATATATATATATATATATATATTTATCCTTTATTACCTTTCTACATTGATGATATATTTGTGGAAGCTGTAACCCTTTTAATGCACACAAATATAATTATTTAAATAAACTGTGCTACACATAAAAACACTGTATTGTTGGATTTTATACACAGTAGTTTAAGGTATAGATTATAATAATATACCCCACAGTTCATGTAGCTTATAATGGTTTGTTTTCATTCACCCTTTCTGTTCAACTGCCAGAACAAAGAGATACAATTCAGCAAAATTATTTAGAACCACATTTTTTAAAAGATGGTACATTCTGAAGATTTTTTAATTTGATACTACAGAACATCACTTGCAATAAATAGTCAATTTTTGGAAACTGAAAATAACGGCAAATAACAAAGCACTGTAAAACTATCAATTCTTCAATTCTCCCAGCAGTTCAGAGTGAAGCTGAAAGATCATTGATGACGGTTGATTGCTGCAGTCAGACTGTAATCCATTAATTAAGCATGTGAATGTGTGAAAAGAACAGACAAAGTTACACTCTTTGTTTACATTAATTCTACCATGTACAACATTGGTTCATTTCACGTCGTATTTGACTGAAGTAATAATTCAGGATTCAATCTGAGTCTAATTGATTCTGTAACAGCTCCGGTGTTTGTGAATCATTTAAATGAACCGACTCTTATGACTCATAAGTTTGTGAATCGACTCAGTGCATTTATAAGTTGTCAAATTTATTTCACCCAAATAAATAAACACATAATGACCTCACAGTCTGTTAAACAGCAGTGGAAGCTAGAGATTACTGTTTATAAAGTTTTAAATATGGATATTTTTCTTACAAAAACGCATGGATTTGCTTTAGCAGGCCTTTACTTTTTATGATGGATGGATGCACTTTATTGGACTTCTATTGGACTAGTGAAAAATAACACTTATTCACTGCAATTATAAAGCTTGGAAGAGCCAGGACATTTTTTAATATAACTCCAATTGGACTCGTCTGAAAGAAGAAAGTCATATACACCTAGGATGACTTGAGGGTTAGGGTTAGGGTTGGAAACCCTACTAAATTTGCGAGCATGAATCATGGGGTAATTTTCATTTTTGGGTGAACTATCCCTTTAAAGGGGTCATATGATGTTGCTGCTAAAAAGAACATTATTTTGTGTATTTGGTGTAATGAAATGTGTTTATGCGTTTTAAGGTTAAAAAAACACATTATTTTCCACATACTGTACATTATTGTTTCTCCACTATGCCCCGCCTTCTGAAACTGAAACAAAAAAGATATTACCTTATATAAAGTCAAAAGTTTGGACACATTAGTATTATTAATATTTTTGAAAGAAGTCTCTTCTGCTCATCAAGCCTGCATTTATTTGATCAAAAAATACAGGGAAAAAAACAGTAATATTCAGCAAGGATGTGTTAAATTGTTAAAAATAAAGTAATGGTAAAGACATATTATTATAAAAGATTTATCGCGATCTGTAATATCTGTAAGATTTATAAAAGATTTAATCATCAAAAAATCCTGAAAAAAGTATCACAGGTTATAAAATAAATATTAAGCAGTACAAGTGTTTCTAACATTATTAATAAATCAGCATATTAGAATGATTTCTGAAGATCATGTGACACTGAAGACTGAAATAATGAAACTGAAAATTCAGCTTTGCATCAAAGAAATAGATTATATTTTAATGTATAGTAAAATAGAAAACCATTATTTTAAATTGTAATAATATTTCACAATATTACTTTTTTCTGAATTTTTGATCAAATAAATCCACACTTGATGAGCAGAATAGACGACTGCTTTCAAAAACATTAAAAATAGTAATGTGTCTAAACTTTTGACTAGTACTGTATAAGTAAAAAATATACAAAATTTAAAATGAAATGTTGTATAAATAAAAAGGTGTTTTTTATTGGGGGTGGGGGGGCCTCCAACATGAATTTTGCCTAGGGCCTCCAAATGTCTAGAACCGACCCTGCTGGCACAAACCGAGCCTCATGAAAAATAAAAAAATGTAAATAAACTATCAAGCAGAGCTGTTTCAATGAGCAGCATTTGACCTGATCAGTCAGTGTTTGTCTGAAGTGTGTTCACATGCAGCTCATTGACTTCATATCTGACTTCATTTACTCGTTTAGTTTTGTATTGTCGTCTTGATCACTGACTGGAACAATAATATGAATAAACACTGATTCTCTAGCTAACTGATCTGAGTTTGTTCTGCGGATATTTATTTCTTCATGTAAAGCATCATATGACTTAAGAAGACTTGTATTAGTTCTTATTCTAATTATGTATTTCTTATATATTTTTCTTAAGCTTCACTTTTGACTGCCCTTGTGTAACTTCCTTTCGTTATATGCACATCATAGACACACCTAGACAAAACAAGAACTAGACCTCGGACACACTGGTTCACCCATACGATCATGGCAACCAAAGCACACACACCCAGAACACACACACACATATGCTCGTGGATCTTAATTGTTATTATATTTCTTAATATTCAAATAGGGTAATGCTTGACCTCTGACTACTTTGATTGGTTGCCCAGGACATCCTGTATGTTATTGTATGAATCTGTGTTGTATAAATATGACCCATCTTCCTTAATAAAGTTGAGAATGTTATGGTAGTAGGCTTCACTGGCTGTCTGTGTCTGCTTGATCAATAATTTTAATTTCATCAGCATTTTAACTGTAGCAATGCGTCACTTCTTTTCCATGTTTTCACTGCTATAGCCTTTGTTGGGCTGCAGGTGAGTGTTCAGTCCACAGAAAGCGTAAACAGACATTTGACATGAAATGGGGGTCGTGGGGGTATATCGACATATGTCCAGCTGGAACGTACGCCGCAGGGTTTAGTCTCAGGGTAAGAATCTATAGTACTATGGTGTGGCTTAGTGGTTAAACATGTAAGCCGGTGACTGATTGTTGAAGGTTCAAATTTCAGAAAGACTTAAGTGCCTGCTTAATACTAAAGAACACCAAGATGAGTGTTACTGCGGATTGGGCTTTCTAATGGAGGACTGTCTTAATGTTGTTGTTTTAAGGTGGAAGGACCTTCCTATGCTTTATATGATGATACAGCACTCAACAGGATTCGTCCAAAGGCTTATCACGCTCACACAAGGGCTACGCCACAGTCCAATCAGATGCTGGACAGTAATGGCCTTAAGTTATTAAAAAAAATCTTACATTAAATGTTTAAACTATAAATTAATATTGATTCAACTCTTTGCGTTTTTTCTTCAGCTGGGGTCAGTGGACAATGGTGTCCTTCTGGATTCTTGACTGCGTTCCGGTTTAAAGTCGAATCTTCCCAAGGAAGAGGAGACGACACTGCTCTCAATGACGCGCACGCATGTTTTGCTGTGATTAAGGTGATGCAATTACAAGCAAACACTCAGACGGCCACATACTGCAGAGCAATCTTACATTAAATGTATAAACTATAAATTAATATTGATTCAACTTCATTGGCGTTTTTTCTTCAGCTGGGGTCAGTGGACAATGGTGTCCTTCTGGATTCTTGACTGCGTTCCGGTTTAAAGTCGAATCTTCCCAAGGAAGAGGAGACGACACTGCTCTCAATGACGCGCACGCATGTTCTGCTGTGATTAAGGTGATGCAATTACAAGCAAACACTCAGACGGCCACATACTGCAGAGCAACTGTGTTTGTTTTTTCTTTCAGGTGTAAAGAAGACGACAAGGAGAACAGTAATAATTGATCAAATACTATGATGAGCTAACATATTTTTGTAAGGGATAATGCACAGTCAGCCAGTCATTATCACAAACTAAATCCTAACAGGACAATCAAGACCCCTCAAAAAAGCAAAAAAGCTGACTGCATCATCCCGCTTATTAATTCAATTATTTTTGTGCCAAATATCAGCATTAAAGTCTTTTTCTAAGAAGCACCTTGTAGTCTCATCCTTTATCACAACATGTGGCAGACGATTCGATCTAAAGCGACTTACACTGCATTCAAAGTAATTGTCTTATCCGTTCATGCACTTCCTGGGAATGAACAGTGAACTTTAACAGGAACACTACATTTATGAGCAATACTTTCATCCATGCTACCCTAAACTTTGTTACATTTCTGAGGGCATATTTTAATCCTAAATTCTTAAAAATAATGTTTTTTTTTACTGGCAGGGATGGTTCAATGAAGAATCTTTTGAGATCTGTAGAAACACAAAAGATTCTTTATAGTAGAAAAAGGCTCATTAGATTATTGAATTATTCTTCACACTAATAAATTAATGATTCTTTCAGGAACTGTTCCCTGAAAGGTTTTCAAAATGTGGAATCACTGCAAAAAAAAAAAAAAAATTTTTTTTAAATTTTTTTTAAGAGTGTAACATATGTATTAAAATGTCTTCATTTAACTTGAGATGGCACTATTGGCAAAATATTACAGTAGTCATAATCCTGAATAGAGATCTGCCAATCAGAAAAATGGAAAATGAGCTATAAGATCCAGTATCATACTGTGTATCACACACACATTTCAATCATATCACCTCCAGTATTCATCTGCATGAGATATTTGTGATCAGATCCAGATGATTGCAGCTTGCGGCTATATTTCTGATGTTATTGTTTTGAAGTTTCATCAGCTGGAAACGGAAGAACTCGAGCTGGGAAGTGGAGAGTCATGTGACCTCATTGCTCTCGTATCATGAACTCGAGCTGGTGTTCAGTGTTGATTTCTGCTCACAGTATCTGTTTAATATTAATATTGAGAACTCATCAATCAAAGCTGTTTCAAAGGGCTCATGCTTTTACTGGCAATGAGCAGCATTTGAGCTGATTGTGTTAACATGCAGATCATTGACTTTAATATCCACAATCATTTTAGTTTTGAATAATGTGTCTGATTACTGGATGGAACAATAATAATGATAAACAGATTTTTTTTTTTTAGCTAATTGATCCGATATATATGATATATTCTTGTTTTTATGTTGTTGTTTTTTTCAGAAGACATATTCAGCAGTCAAGAAAATACTTTATGATAGCTATTTAAATTCTCACTGTGCCCGTCGGAAGAAAGACAGTCATACAGGTTTGGAACGACACGAGGGAGAATAAATGATGACTGAATTTACATTTTTAGCCAAACTGTTCCTTTAACTCGTGCTTACTTGCAAGCATTGATATTTACATCAGGAAATGTCAGTAAACCTGTAAGCAAATGCCCAGCATTTATTTTATAAATATTTCTGTCTGAATCATTAAAGATATAAAATCAAACAAGCAACTCAGTATTTTAGAGGCATATTACCAAGTAAAACACTTTGGATGGTCACTCACGGTCAAACATAGGCCTGCAGATATTTTTGTTGGATCAGTGTTTGTATATTTGCAGGTTATTTCCGAGCGCTCGGAGCTGCGCTGATTGGCTTGAAGCAGGATATCATAACACTGATGAACTGTATAAATGCATATGAAGAAGTACTGATCGGCTCAATAAAGAAACAGACAGGTTCTGCTGACAGACCACAGACGACCCAGAAAGAAACAAACAACTGTTGCCTTTGGGTGTTTACTAAACCAAACAGAATTAATTTCATCAGTATTTTTATTGATCAGGCCAGTGCTGCAGCGATGCATCACTTCCTTTCTGTGCTGTTAGTCATTAATGGGCTGCATGTGAGTGTTCAGACCGCAGGAAGACGTTCTGCGCGAAGCGTCAACAGACATTACAGATCATGGCTGACTGTGTCCAATGGGATGAACTGGGGGTCGTGGGGGTTTAAGGACATGTGTCCGAGTGGAATGTACGCCGCAGGGTTCAGTCTGAAGGTAAGTCGGGCTTACTTGACTGAATTACAGTAATTATGGGGGTTTCTTAGTGGTTAAACATGTGAACTGGTGACTGAAGGTTCAGTCGCTGTTAGTAATTCATATCCACACTGTAAAAAAAAATCTGTGACATTTACGGTAAAATACCGGCAGCTGTGGTTGCCAGAACTTCACCGTAAAAAATATGGTAGCAACATTTTAGGTTTTACAGACTTAACTTAAATTCACAATAAAATACCGTGTTTCAAATGTAATTACATTTATTCACCGAATATAGTATGGAAACTTACTGTTAACCAGTTAACAGGTTTTTACTGTAGCATTTTTACAGTCTTTTACTGTTAAAATCACAATCATTTTTTACAGTGCAGGTATCTCCAGGGAGCTGCACCTGCTTAAGATTTCTTAATACTAAAGAACATGAAGATGAATGTTACTATGGGTTGTGTTCGAGTTATCTGTAAAACACTGCTTGTGTCTCTCTCTCTCTCAAATGGTGGATAGTTTTTTTTTTAAGGTTGATGAACCTTCCTATGGTTTTTGGGATGATAACAAAGGACTCACTGGGATTCGTCTTCACTGTATCCGCCCATCGAGAGCCTCATTGGGCTTATATGAGGACTACGCCTCAGTTCAGTCAGAAGTAGGAGGGTAATGGCTCAGATTCTGAGTAATAAAACCAGTCAAAGCAGGTTTATTAAGAATTCTTACATTAAGGGTTAGAAACGGCTACAAATGAAATGATTTTCTTGAAAATAATAATAGACTTGATCAATAAAACCCTGTTTTTCCACAGCTGGGGTCAGTGGACCGAAATCAAATGGTGTCCTTGTTGTTTCTTGACTGCTTTTCAGCTGAGAGTCGAATCTTTCCAAGGAATTGGAGACGACACGGCCGTAAACAACATCAGGTGAGTATGTGGTGGAATAAGTCATATTGTTTTTTGTTGTTAAATCTGTATAATTAATATCACTGAATGTGAGCATGGCTGTGCTTGTGCACAGAGATGATCACATGACTGACATTCAAAACAAGAGCAAAACTGTGTGATATTGCTTTTATACAACAGTTCAATAAACAATAAATTAAAGGGGTCATGAATTACTTTTGTTTATTTTATAATGTTAGTGAGTCTAAGAGGCGATGATGAAGCATTGATCTGTCTGTGCAAGCAGTCCGGTGCCTATTACATAATAAAGAGGAGGAAGTGAAAAACGAGTCATTTTGGCAATAAACCCCGTTTTTGGACTAACAAAGTTTTAAAGAGATAATTCACCCAAAAATGAAAATTCTGTCATCATTTACTCGCCCTCAAGAATGTGGGTGTTCCAAACAGATGCCGCAGTATGGAAATAATACAATGAAATTCAATGGCTCCCATCAAATGTTTGTTCACCAACCTTCTTCAGAATATCTTCTTTTGTGCTCAACAGAAGAAAAAGACTCATTCAGGTTTGGAACGACTAGAAGGTGAATAAATGATGACAGAATTTTAATTTTTGGGTGGACTTTCCCTTTACGTTCTGAAACTTACAGTATGTTTTTACAGTGCAATGACCTCTTATATGTCAAAAGATCAGGGGAAATTTGATTTCTAAATTCATGACCACTTTAATATCGAGTAACTTTTACTTCAGACAAAAATTCTCCAGTTAGTTCATATATTTCTTCTCCTCCAATGCCATTTACTCACTAGTGAGAGAAACCCGCTCTGAGCGGTCACGGAGCGAGAGAAAACACAAGCACTCTGACTTTCACAAACCCGCTCCGTTTCCACTTCACACCGCTCACAAACTCTGGAACACCATAAACACAGACGAGCGGAATCAGACAAACAGTGAAAAGTCTCAGTGCTGTGACTAAATATCAGCACTCTTGGAACACTGCTCGACCAATCAGATTCGAGGAGTAGAACTTACTTGTATAAACAGAACCATCAAACACAGACCTGGTAAAACTGCATTGGGTTCCAAGATTTAATTACTATTAATTACTTGATAACTATTAATTACTATTTAATGATAAAAATGGGTAAGCTGAACATAATGAATTTACATATGACAAAAAAAAAAACAGAAACATTTTGTGAGTACTGGTTATTTTATAATTATCAAAATATTGTCACATCTGAATTTTCTCCAGATTCAAATGCAGTGGAGGGTCTTTGCTACACGGTGATGGCACAAGCTGGGGCGAGTGGGGCAGATGGGGCCCAACTTGTCAAGGAAAAGCGATTTGTGGTATCAAGACGCGGATAGAAGAGCCGCAGGGAAGTGGAGACAACACCGCTCTCAATGACGTGCGCATGTACTGCTGCGATTAAGGTGATGTGATCGCAGTCAAACATTCAGACAAAGCAACTTCACATAAACCACTGTTTGTTTGTTTGATTACACAATCGAAGTGCTGACTTAGCTGGGTTCGCTTTTCTTTCAGATGTACAGAAGAACAGCGAGAAGATCAAATGGATCATAATAATTGATTATGAGTCTGATGAACTAACATGAACCGTGTCATGTAATAGTTTAATGTGCAGTCAGCTCATGACGGCTTACTAGACATCCTCCCACTTATTACACAGCTACTTACTAATAAATTAATAAATAGATATGAAATATTGATTTGAGTTTTTATTCTTTCATGTAGATTTGTGATTTTTTCATTTTCTTGCCTTAGCTGGAGACTCCTGATCAGGCACCAAATATCAGCATTAACGTTTCTATCTAAAAACACAGGTGTCCAACTGGAACATACGCCGCAGGGTTTAGACTCAGGGTAAGTCAGGCATTGATGGTTGCATGAAGAACCTTTAATAAAAATAAAGGTTCCAGAAGGTGGCTTTTGCAGCAATGTCATAGAAGAACCATTTTTGGCTCCCCAAAGATCCTTTCATTAAACAGTTCTGAAAAGAATCAGCTTTTTAAAGGATCACATGAGAGTTTACACCGGAGAAAACCCGTTCACATGCACTCAGTGTGGAAAGAGTTTTGTATCCAGAAGCTTTCATCAGCTCTCTCACACTGGACTGAAATCATTCGGCTGTGATCAGTGTGAGAAAACTTTTGTTGTGGCTTCACACTTAAGAAGACACCTTAAACTTCCTGCTGGTGTGAAGCCTCATGTTTGTTCTTTTTGTGGAAAGAGTTTTGCACATCTGCAAAGTTTAAAAGAACACCAGAGTATTCATACTGGAGTGAGACCTCATTTGTGCTCTGACTGTGGGAAGAGCTTTATTACAGCCAGCACTTTAAAAAACCATCAGAGGATTCACACTGGAGAGAAACCTTACAAGTGCTCACACTGCGGAAAGAGTTTCACTCACTCATCAACCTTGAGAAAACATGAGAGAATTCATACTGGAGAGAAGCGTACTGGTGCTCTTCATGTTGTGGGAGTCATCTAATCTACAGACTCATATGAAAAAGCATTGCCCAAAGAGGGTGATTTGCTAAAATTAGTAGTGACGTTTGGATCTGGTGGCAGTTTGATCAGTAACATGATTTATATGATTCAGCTTTACTAAACGTCAGACTTTTGTTTTACATGAAAAGATTTCTGACGTTTTTCTTTTTTTTTGTTTTTTGCTTAATGTCTACTCCGGGTTCATCTTTTGCTTGGTCATATTGCAAAATATTTTCTGTTTATACCCTGTTCTTCTTAAATCTTTTATTAGTATCCACCACAGACCTTATTTCAAAAACCTATCATATTCAGGAAAAAAAAAATATTGTTCTTATATTCATTGTTCATGAATAAGAATTTAATATTTCAAATTTAATATTAAAAGATTTTAATGTTCTTTGCTAGGTCATTATTGCAAAATATTTTCTGTTTATACCCTATTCTTCTTAAATCTTTTATTAGTATCCACCACAGACCTTATTTCAAAAACCTATCATATTCAGGAAAAAAAAAATATTGTTCTTATATTCATTGTTCATGAATAAGAATTTAATATTTCAAATTTAATATTAAAAGATTTTAATGTTCTAAGGAAACTTTCCATTAAAAAAAAAAAAAAAAGGTTCTTTATTGGCACTGATGGTTCTGTAAAGAACCTTTAACAACCATGGAACCTTTCCATTCCACAAAAGGTTCTTTAGATCATTCAAATGTTCTTCACACTAATGCAATGCAGCCCTGGCTGATATAAAAAGAAAGAAAAGCAGTCAGACCAGTTCATGAATGATCTCCAGTTACTTTGTGCGTCACTGAAGCTGTGCTAAATATTTCCTGGTTGAATCAGATGATCTTTGTTTTAATTACTGGATACCAGGCTTGATGTTTCTCCATGGATTTAAATGAACAAATAGAAGTATAGGAGTACTAATAGAACTAAAAAAGGAATAAATATTTACAGAGCTCTGTCAACTCATACAAGTTTTGAGACGTGGATTTAGGTGAGTGTGAATGCTGTCGAATATATGAAATTGCATTGCATTTCTAGATACAGATTATGATTTTGCACAGTTCTAATTTAAGCTAAAACATTTTTAAATTACAAACTATGTTGCAGAATTTGAGTGAAAAGTTAAAGTGTGTCACTCTTTCGGTTTGATTTGAGAATGTTTTAAAGATCCTCTTGTTTACTTCATTAAGCAAGAAAATCGGACTCTTTACGGGAGTTCAGATAATCAATAATGACTCATTTGCATACACTTTAATTAAATCTGACCAATAAGTGGTGACCTGTAAATACTTTTTGTCTTTGTTTTTCAAAATTCAAAATTTACTCAATTTACATGTTTACATTTTTAATGTTTTTTTTTTTTTTTTTTTTTTTTTTTTTTTTTTTTTTTTTTTTTTTTTTTTTTTTTTTTAATTAAAAAAAAAAAACAAATGGCAAAGCTGAATTTTCTGCAGCCATAACAAAAATTATTGGAATATGCTGAATTGGTGCAAAATCAATTATTATTGATGCTGAATTATTAATAATAGTTCTTTGTTATCAATATTGCAAACAATTGTGCTGCTAAATATTACAATTAAATAAATATTGTTTTAAAAATTAAAATTAAAATAAATATCATTATTATATTTTTCTGTATTCTTTGATGAATAGAAAAATTGGTTATTGTTTAATAACTAACAAATAAAACTAATAAAAAACACAAAAGTTCACAAAAATGTTCTCAGATTTTCAATGCGGTCTCAAACGTTTGGACTCCACTGTATTCCTGTGATTACTCTGTAATGCTATTGTTATTAAGTCTGAATTACATGTTTAATTAGCAATATTTTATATCTTCTGCAGCTCTTGTGCATTCAGTCTCCTCTGAAACTTGAGAAATGAGTTTTATGATGTACAGACAGTAAAATGACAAGAAAACAAAAAGAAATGACAGCAGAAAATGCAACTGAAAAGACTGAAATGCAGAGAAAAGAAACTGCACTGAGCAATGAAGTCAAACTTGCACAGCAGGAAAAACCAACAAAGAGAGGAAAAGAAAATGCCTGTGGATCCAGAGAACATCTAAAAGTGCACAAGATGAACAGCATTGAAATATTTCAACCAAATTGTAAGAAAACACACATATCAAATAATATCATATATCTCATGATGTGGATGTTTATGACAAGAAGAGTCGAAAGCATTGAAATACAGTTTCTAAACATGTTTTCATTTTTCTTCCAGTCTCTCTTGATCAAGAAAGCCCTGCGTGTCTTTCTGATGCGACAGAGAAATTCAAAGATGAGGTAAGAAATCCCCAATTCATACATACAGGGAATTAATCTGTATAAATCACAATATAAATCTTGATATTGTGTTTTCTCTTTAGAAAGCTGCAGTTGATCTAACTGGCAGAATGCTCTTCAAATCACTTTCAGTCAATGATTCAGAATGAGACTGGAATACAAAAGTGTTTTGTTTTTTTTTATACCTGAAACACATCTGATTATCTACTGTCATAAATGAGGTCAAGTGCACAATTATCACTGTTTTTGAGATGCTTGAACCAAAAGATCACCAGAGATTTTGTGTCTGTATTATTTTTACTGAAAGATTCTTTGTGAAAGTGTCAGTGTCTATACCCGAACAAGTGTCTATGTTTTAGTCATTCTGCCCGTGGTAGAATTTATTGCAATACTTCAGTGTTTTTTGTTTTGTTTATTGTTGATGTTGGTTTTGCACTGCAGCAGTGCGCAATAAATATTATACGACAAATGTGTCCTAGCCTGTCACAAAGAAATGTGTAAAACTAAGATGCTTTTTTTTTAAAATGAGCATATGGTGGTTTTGTAACTGTAAAACACAATTGATTTACACCTCCAGCAGTTCTTTCACTATAACTATACTTTCATAAGCTTTGCATTGTATTATCAGGATGTTCTTGCTGGTCTATAGAATATAATACAACCAATGAAAAATACAGGTACTTTAAGAGCTAGTTATTTACAAGTATTGTAATGAAAAATAAGCAAAGATAAGAACATGAAAATAAGACTTGAACAAACTGTTATTTTCATGTTCAACCACTAGATGGCAGAAATTAATTTCAGAGCAAACTCATGTCTGTTTTATGGAACACAACATTCTCAGAAATAGGCTATAAAACTCAGTCCAGTGACAGAGGTGGGCTATATAATAAGTAGGCTACACAAATATTTTAAACGTTCTATATGGGGCACAACCTAAGATGATACAACTTGACAAAAAAACAACAACACTTGACTTGCAGGACGGGTTGCCAGTTCGCAGAAAACACAGCATGCTGCAGCCATTGAAACCCGCAAATGAACTGGGTCAGAGATCGCATTCTACCCGACCTATAAAGCCTCGGAATCCATCTAAAAAGCTCCATGACCAGAAGCATATCACAACGCGGAGAAATCAACTTATTAATCTATCTTTCCTGCTCTGTGTCTTCAATCTGGCAACCCGCGTGAGCGTCGATTCTGATTTCAACCGCTAGCTGTCAATATTACATACTATACCTTTAAGGGCTAATTGTCAAAGTAATTTACTAGTAAGATATATGAAAAAAGATGCATGCATAAAAAACGTAATATCACTTTAATTTTTAAGTCTTGTGCCGTCTCTGCTTCAGGAGCCTATTGAATGATTTGTGTGTGTGTGTGTGTGTGTGTCAGTAACTTTAATTTTATTTTTTTTAGGACTTTAGTTTTATGTGCAGTTTGGGATTTTTCACATTCAAATGTCAGATCATAAAATTCACATTAAATAACACGTATAGGCCGAATGCAGTTTAAGATTAAAATCCAGCATTTTTTATTCATCTATTTGGATGTGAAAGCGCAAACTGCAATGTTTGATTCTGACGTTGTATAATAAGCAAGCTACGCAGATATTTGAAACTTTCCAAGTGATGCATTCGGGGCACAGCATAAGACCCTGAATGCATGATGCTTATCAACTTTTTTGGCACACTTGTGCTGCTCTGCTCACATAAGAACTGTCGACGCCTGCTTACTACGCGCCGGAGAACACGTAGCCTAGTCCCAGTACGTAAGAAGAAAAAATGGTAAACTATAAACAGACAGAGATTCAGTTCTTGGTCACGTTATGGGACGTCCTAAGTTAACTCCTATTTAAGGTTCGTGTAAACACTTTTTCTTTTGTAGTGATACGGATTAAACTGATCACAACAACTCTGGATTTACTGTTTCTGTGGACATTGCTTTATTTCATCGTTGTGGATCTTAAAGCTAATAATAAGGTGCTTATTTTAAAGTTGTATTGTATTTAAACGCTTTGTAAAACTGTGCCGTGGACCGTTCGACATCTAGTCTATTTATTGAAAACAATACGTTAATGCCCCGCAGTTTATTTAGCTACTAAAATTTGTTCTGGAAAACACAGAAACGAAAGAAGTAGAGGAGAGCGATGAAGAGGAGGAGGGAGGAAGATTCACAAGCCAGTGGATCAAAACCAGCAAATGCGGAGAAACTTGTTAAATGGAACAGTATGCGTGATCTGAAACCAGACTGTGAGTATTTAAAGGGGTCATGTGATGGGATTTCAATTGTTTCTTTCTCTGTGGAGTGTTACAAGCTCTTGGTGCATAAAGAAGATCTGTAAAGTTGCAAAGACTAAAGTCTCAAATCCAAAGAGATATTCTTTATAAAAGTTAAGAGTCAGCCACACCTACCTAAAACATCTCGTTCTATCTAGCCCCCACATACCTACGTCACTATCTGGGAAGATTTGCATAACACCGCCCAAATGTTCACACAAAGAAAGAAGGAGTAACTTTTATTCTCGCTGTAATATTGAAAAGTGAAAAGTGAAAAAGTGAAAAGTGACGTGACATGTGGCCAAGTATGGTGACCCATACTCGCTCCGGCCTGACAGGGCATCATAACAGTATGGTAGGGGTGTAAGATTTCCGTCACACGCTTGAGGTATTCGTCCAATCACAACGCACTGGATAGCTGGTCAATCAGAGCACACCTCGCTTTTCAGACCGATTAGTTTTGTAAAAATCGACGCGTTTCAGAAAGGCGGGGCATAGAGGAGAAACAATAATGTACAGTATGTGGAAAATAATGTGTTTTTTGAACCTTAAACCGCATAAACACATTTCATTACACCAAATACACAAAATAATGTTCTTTTTAGCAGCATCATATGACCCCTTTAATAGCTCTGATGAATCCTTGAAGAAGAGATTAAGACTTGAACAGAAATCACAGTGAATCCAAACAGTGGTATAATCAGTCACTTTTTAGTTGCTTGCGATTTTTTGTGTATCATTGGAGTAACTTGAAGTTATAAACCGAGAGCAGCTAACTTTTTCTTACTCCCCTTTACGTTATCATCATCTTCATGCACCTCTCCTAACATGCAATAATTCATCCAGCACATAAAAACTATATGAGGATAATTATAATCAGTATTATTTTGCATCTTCAGTCTCTCATGATGCAGAAAAACCTGAGAGTCATTCTGATGTATCTCAATCAAAGACGAGGTGAGTGATTCATGTACAGAGACAGACTCAAGACTAAGCTGAAGTTTTAAATATTTTAAGATGTGTTCAGCTGATCTTCAGTAGCTCAAATGTTTCTCAGATGCTGATCAGTGAAATGTCAAGTGAAACGCCTTTCTTTCTCTGTCTCTCTGGCTTTATTTTCTCTTTTGTGTATTAAAGTGTCCTCCAGCAGATCATCTGAACACCAACAAGACAAACCTCTATGAATCTCTCACGTTTCTTCAAATGGAGCTGCAGTAGTTCATTGTTTCCGGGCCCGGCTCCATCCAATCAGGTGCTTGGTCCACACCCTGGTCCCACGCCTAATAACAACCGGCTGCAAAAATGCTGCACTGTTCAATTCAGCTCCAGATTTTGAGGGAGATTTAGCTCTTTGGCAGCTTGGTATGAAAACCCCACTTGTTATTTAGAAAGTAGAGAGAATGTAAGTCTTTAAGGGAATTTTCCGTATTGATTTTTTACAGGTGTACTTGGAATTTTGCATTGCATTGCATTGTGTTTTAGGGTTGTCCGTAAAATTAATGGATAATGTCCTGGCAGAAAAATTTCAGTTTTTTTTTTAGAACAGTACTTGCTGTTTTCTCTTCGCACACAGAGAGCACATATCAGACATTACTGAACTGAATTCAATTTCGGGTCTCATCATGCATAGACATATACACACAAAATTAAGTGAAATTTGTGGCCGTTTGGCGAGTATCCTCGTCAAAACAATCTTAACTGAGTTACAATAAAATGTCTAAAAGAATAGTTGGGAGAAAAAACAGCTTTATAAACCTGCTGCTGTCTTGTGTCATTAATGGGAATTTAAAAAAACAAAAGAAAATGAAAAAAAAATCGCTTTGCTTAAACCTGCTCTGGACTTCACTTCTTTAACTTTAATAAGGATTAAGTTATATTTAATTTATACATTATAGTATTTTGTATCTAAATAGCTACTATTGCGAAACTTAAAGCCGCTTGTTCAGTTGTATTTATTTGTGCTGTTGCTTGTAATGTGTTCATTTGTTCTTATTTTATTACTGACTGTTTACTTTATTATTGTGAGTTTTTTTTAAATTTTTAAATTTTTTTTGCCCACCAGGAATGTTCATTGGTCCCACCTTACATCTCAAAGCTGGAGCTGACTGTATCTTCAAATATATATGTAAATATTGTGTATATGTACATTCTGCTTTATAACTTTGTATCTGCTGTACTGTAAATTGATGTGTATCGCCACAGGATGAAGTATCAAATGGTTGACAAATGCTCTTCGTTATTAATTGTAGGCCTATGGTTCTACACTTTATTGTAAAACTGATTTTTAAATGTAGAGAAGTATGTGTCACAGAGAGAGTCTTCACTATAAAACATTCTGACGACAGCTATAAATAAATAGCTTATTATGAAAATGTGTTATTGCTTCACAACATGGATAAAGGATGAAATCTCTGATAGCTGATCATTTCTTTATTAAATGATCATTATCATCAGTACAAAACCAAACTATTTACATTATTCATCAAATCACAGAGTAAGGCTGAGGACAAAATGAGCCACTGAAATGATCTATTCAAAGGAGGGTTCAGCCAAAAATAAAATATTATCATATTTCCTCACCCTCATGTTCTCATGGTTCCAGTATTGCTTTGGCACACATAACTAAATGCCTCAATGTTTACATGGTATCATATTTAGATTTTTCCCCAATGAATAATATAATTAATGGTTGCAGCCTGATGAAACACAGATTTAGATCAGTTTTTAGAGCGAGTTGAAAAGGCTGAAAAAGACAATGACACCATCTAGAGCAAAATCTGCAGCGCTGGAAAACAGTTTGGATGGCTAACCACAAAACTCATGCTTATTAATTCCAGGCTTGGAGATTCTCAAATTTAACAGCAAATGAAGATGTCAAGAATCAAAGCAAACATATAGTCTACAATTAATTTTTTCCTTATTTAACATATCAATGAAAAAAAAAACACACCATGTAAATTAAAGGATTAGTTCACTTCCAGAATAAAAATTCTGTCATCATTTACTCACCCTCCACTAGTTTCAAACCTGCATGAGTTTCTTTCTTCTGTTGAACAGAAAATAGAAGATATTTTGAAAAATGTTAGTATCCGAACAGTTGATGAGCACCATTGATTTCCATAGTATTTTTTCAAAATATCTTCTATTTTCTGTTCAACAGAAGATCTTGAATTGACAGCTCCAGCTCCAGGTCTTTCTTTAACAGCAGAATGGCTCTTGATTGATGAACAAACATGTGCTGCGTCTCAATGTGCCTACTTATACTACGCCCTAAAGTATGTACTCTTTTGGTGAAGAAAAAGTACACACTTTTGAGTGTGTAGTAGAAAAGTAGGCAAGCTTTGGGACATACTATCACGTCATACAACTGCGTCTTTAACAGACGCTCTGTCGCATAGATACACGCACCCTGTCACTGTAAACTGGCCTGCCAATCAATCATCTTGTCACAGTTAACATCCTCCACATTGCATTTAATTTAACTTCCTACCGTATTGGAGAGAAAAGAAGTAGCTCGTTGATCTGCCAGTCGCGGGTCTTTCATGCCGAGAACTCATATTTTATGCAATGATGAATTTAAAAGTTAACGACCAAACGGATGTTTATAAAAGTTTACATTGCTGTTGCAGATTAAATATAACACAGATAACATTAAATAAATATTTTTTACCAGGTTAAATGTTGAATATTAGTGACTCAAACCCCTTTTTCTAAGCCTCTAACCGCCATGTTTGTAGTTTTTAACGCGTTTTAATCGTGTTTGTAGTTCTACTCTTTTTGTGAAGAAAAAGTACATAGCCTACTTTTGAGTATGTAGAAGAATAGTAGGCAAGCTTTGGGACATACTACTTCGTCATAGCTGCTTCTTTAATGGACGCTCTGTTGCTTAGTTACGTGCATTCTGTCGCTGTTTAAACTGCCCTGTCAATCATCTTATCACAGTTAACATCATCCACATTTAGTTTAATTTGATTTCTTACCGTATTGGAGAGAAATTAAGAGGTACGTTGATCTGCTAGTTGCAGGACTATCAGGCCCAGAACTCTGCTCATGTGTTTGCATAATGATGCATTTAAAAGTTAATGACCAAACGTATCATTATAAAAGTTCACAGTGTTGCTGCAGATGAAATATAACGCGGATAGCATTACATTTATATTTTTTCATCAGGTTAGACATTGATTATTTATCACTCAAATCCGTTTATCTACCTGTCCGTTGGTCGCGTAGGCCTATATCCGCCATGTTTGTAGTTTTTAAAAACACTTTTAATGCGTTTTTGTAGTTCTAATTGAATCCTCGTCATGCATCGAGTGTGCATCGATCTGCACTTCGAATTCTAACCGGAAGTAGTAGACCATCCGGGAATCTTTGGCATACTTTTTTAAACGTACTATGATTTGGGACATACTAATTCTATTTTCGAATACTATTTAGGACGGATAGTATGCGAATTGCGAATGGCTTTTTTCCCCTCAGAATTGGCAAACTCGCAATTGTTGAGGTAAATCAAGTTATAAAGTCCGAACTAGGAGATTTAAACTTGCATTTGCGAGAAAATAAAGAGTCAGAATTGTGAGATAAAATAGGTAGGCTAAATGTAATGTAAAATGTTATAGGTTTAAATAGTATTTCATGCTTTAACAGTAGGGCTAATACAATATGTCCCCTATGTGAATATTATATAGACCTATTGTTTAAATCAAATTTATACTTTAAAAGTAGGGTAATCGTAGCAGGTTTCATCAATAGTTTGTTCGTTTAAACGTCTGCGTTTAGCTTCAAATGGCGTGTTTGATGACATTATTCTAAAAAAATTTGCATTCTGATTCTGACATCCAAAAGCACAACAATACATTTTTTAATTTCAGTTAAAATGGGCCACCTTCTGAGTTGAGTTTAAGCAGAAATTCTGGTGGTTTCTCTTATTAAAAATTATTTATATTATTAATATATTGTATTACTGCATTTGTGACACCTTTTTCACATTTTACCTTCTAAATGTGTTTGCATGTGATGTGTGTTTATGTGTGCTGGACTATGTTTGTGTGTGCATGTTAGTGAGGCATGTGTATGTGTGTTGAAGAGTATGTATTTTTAGTTACTGGCCCGATTTACCTGAATGTGTTAAGATAAAATGAGCCATTAATTTCTGTTAAAATGGGCCACCTTCTGAGTTGAGTTTAAGCAGAAATTCTGGTGGTTTCTCTTATTAAAAATTATTTATATTATTAATATATTGTATTACTGCATTTGTGACACCTTTTTCACATTTTACCTTCTAAATGTGTTTGTATGTGATGTGTGTTTATGTGTGCTCGACTATGTTTGTGTGTGCATGTTAGTGAGGATGTGTATGTGTTGAAGAGTATGTGGTGAAGAGAATGGCATTTTTGATGATGACGGCTTTATCTGTCAAGACTGTTTTTGAAAAACCTTCAGATCACGCGTGCACACACACACACACTAGTTGTTCAGGTTATTGTTAAATTTTTTTAAATGAAATTTATGTTTTATTGATGAAATTGATTGAAAGGTTTGAGTGTCTTATCTCTTCTCTTCGAAATTATTTGCAGTCATTGGCTGTTAACTTTTAAACTGTTGCCATAACACTACTTGTTATTGTTACATTTTTTCATGAAATTTGTTTTGTTGATGAAATTGATTGGAATTGATGTTTTAATGTAATTTAATAGCAATGTTACACTGTTACATTATAAAATTAAATATAATTAAATGTGTTTTATCAGAAATGTCTCTATTTCACTTTGCAGTTTGACTGGCCCATTTTTGCTGATCAGCCGGCCCATTTTACCTGAACACTGCTATCTCAAAAAATGTGGGCAGCTAATGTTTCAAAACCTGTAGGGCCGGAACAATTATATTTTATTACATCAATTCAACACAAAAATATTAAAAACAGTCCTTATTAATCATAAGAACACAGTTAAATATTATACATGGGTTTTTTGTTAGTGTCCCAAGCGATTAACCAAAAAGTGGCCCAATTTACCTGATATCACCCTATATGTGTAAATCAAGAACATTGTGCAAAGAGACATGCAAAGAAAGAGAGAGAAAAGCCACAACCCAGTAAAAATGAGAAAAATTCCCCTGAAGCAAACAAATCTGGATACTGCACTGGAATAGGCCTGCCTGTCCAACACTGAGCGAAGTCCATATCACCTGCTTGAACATGTTCCTTCCTGGGAGAAGAAGGCTAAAGAGACAAAATGTTCCTGTGTTATATGGGAAAATATTTAGAAATGTGAATCACACCCAAAATACATAAATACACATGAAACGTGTGTGTGTGTGTGTGTGTGTTTGTGTGTGTGTTGGCCATCACTAGATGTCACACCATTTTTATTCCTTTTTTTGTATATTTTTATATTGATGTATTGATGTACAGCGGAGATCAAAATTAGAGAACAACCTACAATTTCCTAAATTTCAAGGTCACTGCTTAGTCCTATTTGAACTTATCCTAAGAGGAGTAGAAGGGCAGTTTTTAAGCATATTTCATAAATTAATTGTATTCTTAAGCACAGTATAAAAAACTTAAATGAGATATTTGAAAAAGAACTATGATCAAAATTAGAGAACACTTACAGATACCTACAATTTATTGGTGTTAAACTGGCAGACTGTCCAGATGAAGGCCAAAGGGACGACCCTTTCAGCCATTGCAAATCTGTGATTTCTAGAATATTGCCGCTTTACATTGACACTAATTCATTCAAGTCCCCCAAAATGGCTGGTCGTCCACGTAAGACAAATGCACGAGAAGACAGGATAATGCGGAGACTCTCAATGGGGAATCGGTTCAACACTGCAGCTGGAATTGCTCGACAGTTCAGCGATGAACAGGGTAAGGATCTGTTTAAGAGAAGTCGGACTGAAACTCTGCAGTGACCAAACCTATCATCAGCAGAAAGAATCAAAAGGCTAGACGCTGAGGAGCATGTTGTGTGGAGAGAGGAGAACTGGTCCAGAGTTCACTTTAGTGATGAGAGCAAGTTTAATTTATTTGGGTCTGATGGGAAATATTTAGTTTGGCATCAAACTGTTGAAAGACTGAACCTCGAGTGCATAAAGAAGTCAGTGAAAGGTGTCATGGTTTGGGGGATGTTTTCTGCAGCAGGAGTTGGGTCTCTTATACAGACACATGGCAGAGTGAATGCAAATATTTATCAGAACCTCTTTCAGCAACATGCGGTTCCTTCCCGAGAAGCATCTCCCAATCAGCCTGCAATTTTCATGCAGGACAATGCTCCTCGTCACTCTACAAAACAGGTAAAGCAGTTCCTTGAAGCTGAAAACACTGAAATAATGAAATGGCCGGCCCAGAGTCCTGATCTAAACCCAACTGAAAATCTCTGGAGAATCCTTGGCAACAAAGGTATGGCTAAGAAACCCATTAGTCACCGAACTATGGAAGAGAGTGGAAGAGGAGCGGACCAAGATCACAGCAGCGCAGTG